TCTCCTTCTGTCATCTGGTCTCAGCTGGGGAACCCTCAATGTGAAACACCAGTTCAGATCTTACCAAGAAAGGGGAGCGGGCTCAATGATTTTCCTCCCAGGAACTCCTGTGCTCCTGTGCAAACCTCCCTACCCTCACCCTAACTGAAGAGGTGGCTCTCGGGTTATTGTTAAGTCACTAAAAGTTCACTTTTACCATTTATTTAGAGCAAAGAGGCTGGTGTTGATGCTCCAGAAACTAAGAACTGACAGCAACTCCTAAAGAGCTGATCCTTAGAGAAAATGAAACAGTGACATTTAGGAATCTTGAACATGAACATTAATATCTTGGAGGGCTTGGTTCTACCAGCTCTGCTTAATTGCTAGACACAGTGACCTCTTGTGAAGAGGGACAGGTCTGCTTTCCCTTAGAAGTCCTGCACCTAGCTCAGAATATCTGCTTAACCATTCTTTGGTGGAATGAATGGATTTTTCTTCTATTCAGGACAGTTCCAGACCTGTGGCCTAGAATTAGGGATTCTACATCCTTAATTATCAAAATTGGAAAGGGTTTAGAAGAATGAGGTTTAACCAAGGGGGTTTATGGATTTGAAGTCCAGCAACATTTCCACCTATTCATTAGGTTGTTTCAGATTTGTGTCTTTGACTCTATTTCACATGCAAAATTAATCAATGTTGGAATTATATAAAACAGAGTCAATTTATTAATTTACAATGTGTGATTACCTAGTGCAGCTGTCTGTAAATGGTAATGCCCTTTCTGGGTATTTCTCAGATAACTAAATTCAGATCAGAACACTACTGGGTGAATATATAACTAGACTCCAAAGGGAGTTGTATGTCACTGAGGGATATTTCTAACAAGCTTTGGTAGCTTAACAGAAATGCCTTTCTTCTCTCTAGGGAGAAAGAATATTTCTGTTCAGTGATTGTCTGGGAGAAAATAGCAGCTGAAGCTGAATTTGGGAACTTCAAGCTTTTATGTTCTATGGGTTTAATTTTTTTCAATGCCTCATCCTCCCCTGAATTCAGAAAACCTAAACTCATCACAGCAGTATCAGTTATTAGTTATTTTTATCTTGATATGAATTTAAATTTTTGCATTCTTTGCAAGGCATTTTGTGTTTTGAAACTCATCTCAAAATATGGACTCCAGAGTTGGGGCTGTAGCTCAGTGGTAAAGTGCTTGCCTTGCATGTGTGAGGCACTGCGTTTGATCCTCAGTACCACGTAAAAATAAATAAAGGAACTATGTGTTCATCTACAAATATATTTATATTTGAAAAAATATGGACCTAAAGGTTTGTTTCTTTGGCAGGAGATCCCAGGATCAATGGGTACGAATAAAAGTATTATCTTTTTTTTTCTTTATTTGGTGTTGAGGATTGAACCCAGGGCTCTGCAGTGCATACTCTACCACTGAGCTACACCCAGTCCTGAAAGTATTTTTTTTAGTCATAGGGCAATTGGTCAGTGTTATTGACCTCACACCATCTGAGTGGACTCCTACCCTGTCTATAAATAAGAAGATTCTGTTTTTGCTTTAAAGATCCAGGACTGTTTGTGTGGAATTACATAACTTTTGGGTGTGTTTTCTGGAAGAAACACTGATATTATTTCTCTGCTATGTTTTTCTAAACTCCATGAGGACATTAACTCTTCTTTGCCCCTTGATTCTTCAACTCCCTAAAACGCATTTCCATGTCAGGGCTTTTGCCACTGGTCTGTTCTTTCCTTGCTTAGAAACTCTTCTCTCTGGTATCCACATGGTTCACTTCATCCAAATCTCTGTTCAAACAGCCTCTTCTCAGAGACACCTTACCCACTGCCTATCCAAGATGGCAGACTCTTCCCTCTATTCTCCATATCCTACTTTACCTTGTTTGTGGCACTTTTAGCCACCTGTGAGTACATTGCACATTTAACTAATTATTATCTTTCTTGCATTTGTTAAATAAGCAAATGAATGAATGAATGAATGCATTAATCCTAGGTTCAGAGGTTATTTCTTCTGGATTATTTTGTCAGCTGGGCCCTTTCTTTGTTTTTCCTTCCTCTTCCTTCCTTTTTATTTTTCTTCCCAAAATAAACACTTACTGAGACACTGGAATCCCTGACTGGACAAGGTTAATTCTGGAATGGTTTTATGGGACCAATAGTGTTATCTCTAACTTCTTATTATCTTCTTTTTCCAGATAGCCATCTTGGGTAGTTCTGATTATAGGTTCTTGTGGTTCAGGAGCTGAAGATCTTAGGTTATATCATCACCCTTTCCATATGGCTTGAAGAATGACAACAGTAAAAAAGCCTGAGCTCAGGAAGATACCATGTGTGCTAGGCATATTCTATACTGGGGCCCCAGGGTCTAGCACACTGAGGCATTGAGTAGATCTTTGTAGGATAAGTGGATGTGAATGAATGATAAGACACTGGATTGGAAGACATCTCCTTGGTACTAGCAACCCCCTGGCAACGGCCCTTTGATCATAGAAAAATGATATGAGCCCTTGAGTGAGGCTAGAAGGATTACTCGGCCCCAAAGCCTGCATTGACTCTGGGCTTCCATTTGAGTGAACCAAAACATTTTTTTAATTGTAAGCCAGATTGAACCTAGTTGTTAGTTAGTTATAGCCAAATGACAAGTTTTCTTGCCCCTAGTTTCTTACCTGTAACAGGGAAAGAACTAGATAACATAAGCTCTCCTCAAGCTCTCAATATCTGTGACTTACACATTTCAATGGTGGCACTAACATACAATTGCACATTTAAGTGGTGGCACTAACACACACTCTCCCTCTCTCTCTATCTATATAGATAGTTTAATTCAGTTTAATTCTCAAAAGTCCCAGGCCCCGAATCATCACTTTGGAGGTTAGGATATCAGTTAATTTGGAGGAGGGACAATCAAACCATAACAATCCCTAAATTCTATTAAGTGAGAACAGCAAGAGGATGGGTCACCCTCAGACCAATCAGGACTATTCCTGAAAGTAGTAGTCAGGTCAGCTTCCAGGTGAGGCACAGGGAGTGTTGGGGAGGGTACCCAAACAAAATCATAAGTTAGTTCTATGTGTAATATTATGTAATATAGCACTACTTAATGTCTCAGCATTGTTTTAACATATACAACATAAAACAGATTCACTTGAAATTTTTATCAGTCAAGGTTCCCTGTAGAAAAAGAACCAATAGAACAGGGATACACACACACACGCACACACACACTGAAAATTATCTCAAAGAATTGGCTCAAACTATTGTGGGGGCTAGCAAAACTGAAATCTGTAGGGCAGACCAGCACACTAGAAATTCAGGGAGGAGTTGATGTACTTTTGAAGCAGAATTCCTTCTTCAATAAAGTTCATTGTTTGCTGTTAAGGCTTTCCTGTGATTGGACAAGGCCCATCCTCATTATTGAGGATAATCTCCTTTACTCAAAATCACCAGATTGTTAATGTTAATCACATCTACACAATACCTAAACTAATGTTTGCCAATCAACTAGGCATTATAACCTAGCCAAAATGACACATAAAATTCATCATTACATTTTATTTTGTGTGTGCACAGTGTTTGGGAGGAAAGTGCTATACCACTGAGCTACATCCTCAGCCTAATAATCAGACAATTTTTATTTTCTAATCTTATTTATCTTAATGTTTCTAACTTCAAATTTCTTTAGAGAGTGTGACAGAAGTGTGATTTTGGAAACATATATTATGGTTGGGCTGGGGGCACTGTAGTAAGAAACTACATGAATCACTGTATTTTCTGCTAGGCCATAGGATCCATACAGTTGTTTCCAGAGGTAGAGGGAGTCCGCCCAACTCTGCACATGAGAACACTTATGCTCTTCAGATCTGATCCATGGTTCTGCTGTGGAAAGGGGGATTGCACAGAGGTTTTCTTTATTGTCCACAGTCACACTAAGATAGTCCATGTCCCAAAAATGTCCCAAGCAAATAAAAGGGGTGGGGGGGGGGAATTCGGGTTAGAAACCTTTAACTATGGACTCTAAGATGGCCTCCTGACAAAGCACTCATCAATGATGATGATCCACTCATTAAACGGAACCAATGATATCCACAGTACACTTTTCACATGTGATCTGACAAATATTCTGGTGTGACTTAACAGGGATTTAGCTCAAGCATCTCTCAGACTATTTAAGGACTGTTTTGGGTGTTAGTATAGTTAGTAGATTATTTAAAAATCTGTTTCACAATCTGAAATTCCTTTTTCTCAATGGGAAAGGAATACTTTTAACATGCTGGTATCCCCCCCCAACCCCGCACACACATGCTGTGATTATTCTTGTTCATCCAAAGTTTAGGAAAAATTTCTACCCCCAAAACCACTCAATCAAGTAACTAAAATCATGGGAATCAGTTATTCTTAGGAGGCAATATATACAAACAAATCGCCCATTAATGCTGCAGGAGAGGACTCCTGTCAATTTCGCCCTGTCTGTCCTATCTTAAATACCTCCCCTCTAACTCATCAAGGACCCTAATACAGGGTCACAGTGGGTGTGCGTGTTTATATGGGGGTGTGGAGAGAACAAAGGGGCTCTGGAGAGCGCCAATCTGGTGCAGTTTAGGAATTCTTGCCTTGTCCAGAGCCAGCCCGAATAGTTTTCTTCCTTCAGGTAGTTTAAGGGTTTCCAAAACAAAAATAAATAAAGGTGGCTGTGACCTCTCCGGTGCCTACTCGGGTCTGGAAGCCTCAGCTGTCCATCGCTGGGTCCACCTAGCTCAAGGGGCACTGCGTCCCGAGATGGCAGCGGGTTACTGCCCCAGTGTAAACCCGGCGTGGGGGGCAGCAGGGCAGCCATCTCCACCCGCGCAACCTGGGTTTCTCTGGGCTGCTCTCCCAGTGCAGGCCCCTGGCAATTCTGTAGAGATTATGGGCCACGCAGCGCCCGCGGAGAAGTCGGCTCCTTTAACCAAAGGTAAAAGGCCGGCCCTGGTGCGTGCTGGGGTGGCGCCTGCAGGCCGCAGCTGGAGGCACTACCCGCCCTGGCAGCGAGGCTCGCTCGCAGGAGCCGGAGGTGGAGGCGCGCCCCCTTGTGGCCGGAAGCAGGACTGCCCGCAGGGAGCGGATCTGCGGCAGCGCGTTCACCAAGGTCAACCGAACCACCCCCGCCTCTCAGAGGCCTGCTCCCCAGCTTTCCCTCACTCTCCGTTGGAGAGAGGGTGGTGGACGCTGAGGCAGGGGAGAGGACCCAGGGTTTTTCCTTTTTAGCTTTTGTACACCACCAGTCTCTCCGGCAGAGCCTGTGGGAGGCCCCCTCTGTGGGAAGCGTGGTCCACCTCTGACCCGGAAGTTCATCTTGGACCCGGAAGCCTCTGATCTCCTGTATTTGTCAGCACTCCCACAGGCGGAGGAGGCCATTTCTCTTTTCCCCATGGCTCAGTGGTTCTGCGTTACTGCTTCTCAGCATGGACGTTCTAGTGTTTTCCTTTCCAGTTTTATTCCGCACTCTCAGTGTTGCAGGTACCCACAGGGCACGGCTGTCAAAGTTTTTTTCAATAACTGCCTTCAACTCTGCTAGAGCATCCTCTCCCACCATGACAGTTTCCCAGTGGGCAGCAAGGCTCTTGAAGACGACGGGATTGTGTTTAGGTTATTATGACAGTCACACTTAAGACATGCCTTTCAAAAATTTATTTCAAACTCCATTCAAAGCTTGTCTTTTTTATTCCCCAGGTTAACTGGTCCTGTGTGCGTGTGTGCGCAGGGAGCATCATGTATGTGTGGCTTTGAGAACCTTCCTTCCCATATTGTCCTAGGTCAGGTTGTTGTTTTTTTTTTTTTTTCCAAAATGCAATTTTTAAGCCATTGTTGGATCAGAAAACTAATTTAGAAAGTCTTGATCTATTTTTTTTTTAAGGAATAGAATGGAATACAAAATGCAGAGTACTTAGCACATATAATGCAGTATTATTTCATAGGAAGCATTGCTTCAGTTGTGTATATATGTAAAGATAAAGATGAGAGTAGCTGTTGGCTGCCTGGGATGGTGCACATTGTGTCCTAAAGTAAAGCTTACTTACTGTGGGTCATGCTCTAGATAGGTCTTCCAGTTTGAGGGTAGAGAGAAATGAAGCACAGGGGAAGGAGCCAAAGGAGGAATCTCAGCTGATTCTTGTCAGCACATGCCCCAATCTCTTCTCATGATGAGCATTCTGTCACTTGGCTCAGTGGCTGCCTGGGGAACCAAATAACTTGCTCCACTGCTAACATTTGTGTTCATGGGAATCACTGGAGTTCTCTTTCAGGTCCTCTGAATTTACCCAGTTTACTTTTTATGTGTACTGCACTTCTGTCCCTTTAACTCTGCAAATATCTCTTGCCCACAGAAACCTCTCAGCCCAGAATAGATGTGGGTCTCTCTCTTCAGTATACTCTGCAGGTATCAATGACAAATATGAAGTATCACCTGTGAAAAGGACAATACATCTGACTTCCAGGCTTCCAGAATATTCCTAAGAGTCCTTCAGCAGGTTGGACTCTACTGGTGCGTATAATATAGCTAACACCTGGTTGGAAAAAAAGATTACTCTTTTTCCTTCTTGTAGGGACCCTCCCGCCCTAAGACTCTACCCTCTACCTTTTTAGATAAAAGAAAAGTCTCCTTCCTCTTTCCTCCATGAGGAAGGGGTCACTCCCAAGGTCAGTCATACCCTTTCCCCCACTTTTCTGGAGATAGAGAAAGGAGGTAGGAGAACTTGCTCTGAGCTGCCCTCAACAAACCCTGTAGGAACCAGGCATGGTGTTTTTTGTCTGTAATCCAAGCTATTCTAGAGGCTGAAGCTGGAGGATTGCAAATTCAAGGCCAGTCTCAGAAATTTAGGAAGACCCTGTCTCAAAATTAAAAATTTAAAAAGGTGCCAGGCATGGTGGTGCATGCCTATAATCCCAGCAACTTGGTAGGCTGAGACAGGAGAATCACAAGATAAAAGCCAGCCTAAGGAAAAACGAGGTGGTGCTAAGTAAGCAACTCAGTGAGACCTTGTCTCTAAATAAAATAAAAAACAAAATAGGGCTAGAGATGTGGCTCAGTGGTTGAGTGCCCCTGAGTTCAATCTCTGCTATCTCCTCAAAAAAAATTTATATAAAAAAAAATTAAAAAGGGCTGGGGCTGTAACTCAGTGGAAAAAGTGCCCCTAGATTCAGTTTCTAGTACTGCAACAAAACAAAACAAACCCTGCAGGGAGGTGACTGCTCTGAACTGTTAATGTCTTGATCTTGTAGTATGAAGTAATTAGAGCTCTCTCTGACCTTAGCTATGGGGCTTAGCTTCAGTTCATAAACCAAAACAAAAATCCCACCTAATTGCTTGTTGCACATGTTATTCAGTGGGATGTCTTCAGTCTTTCTTCATGTATCTTTTTTCTCCAGCCATACTGATTTCACTTCACTTCCAATCCTTCCCACTGTTATATTTCTGCCACTTGAACTATCTTTTCCTATCATCTTGCAACATCCAGAAAGCATTCTCTAAGCAACCAAATGGGAAGTGAACCAAGCCTCTTTGGGCCCCTACATTTGGTCTCCTTGCCTAGAATGAGATTTGTTTCATTTTGACTTATAGAAATATGGGTGGTTTCTTTGCTCCTCTACCTGAATGAATTTCCTACAGGATATAGATCTCATCCTAGTTATCTCTGCATTCCACATAGCACTTTCCACATAGTCAATGCTGAAAATATGTTCACAACTCATTGAATAGCAAAAGCAACTTCTTGGTCATCTAGGAAAAGTCTTGTATAATTGTCTCGTTGCACTTTAGGATAGCCATTGTGAGTCCAGAGTTTCAAATGCCTTGAGTTGACTTCCATTTTACAAAACGTCCTACCTCACCAGATTACATTTGAAACGTTTGTCTTCATAACAGTTGAGTGAATTAAATGGGACCGATATTATTCTCCTTGTTTTTCAGGTAAAGAAAGCATTCAGAGTGTAAGTGGCTTGCCCATGCTTCCCTGGGTAGTGAATCATGGCTTGTTCTGTTTCTTTGGCCTCTTCTCATTTTTTCCATCAAGCCACCTTGCAGGCTTATGCTTTTCTGGCTAAGCAAATGACCTCTAAGTACTTTCCCAGGGTCTTCAATGAGTTGGTTTTGGTCCCATCCCCAGCTGGTGGTGACTCACTGAGTACATGACATTGAGCAAGCTATTAACCTGTACTCACATCTCAGTTCCTTAATTTTGAAAATAAAGATGACAATAGATGCCAGCTGCCTCACATGGTGTTGTGAAGATTAATGAGATGATGCAGGGAAGTGCCCTGAGCTCCTGGGATGAAAAGCTTAGTAAAAGCACAAAGTCTAATTATAATTTCTTAACAGTTTCACAGGAGCCTCTGGGAAGGCTAGTTCTTGTTTCTAAATTTGGAGAGGATGTCTGTGTAGCATGGATGATTTTCTCTAGACTGGCAGCTATAGCAGTCTGCTGCTTATGCTGGTCTTCATGACTCTGCTATAATCCAGCACCACTCAGTCTACCCTTGGGTCTCATAAAAATATAAATGAAAGCTCCTAAAGATGCTGCCTTCTATCTTCCCTACTCATAGGAAGACACAAGGATAATTCCTTTTGGACAGGCATCAGATAGGGTTCTATTGGTCTTAAAGAATGTAGATGCAGTCCCTAAGGATGGGATTGTGGTGTAGACTAGTGGGAATGTAAAAAGTATGCTTGGATCTTACAGGAATGATTTTCTTTTCCTGGTAAGGGCCAGGTTCAGAGGACCTTCTAGCCTTTTTCTCAGCTTTCTGCCTCTGAACACAGTGTAAGATCTGAACTTTGGCACTTCTGTTGCCATCTTGCAGCCCCTTGGGAAAACCAAGGGAATTGCAGCAACATTGGCTTGACACCATTGAGTCACCAAAGCAATGAAGCATATATTGTTTTTATAAAAAGAAATCTTTGCTTGAGCCATCATCTCTCCATTACTCCTGGGCAGATAGATAACTGTAGCTGATAGACAACCATGTCTGCCATTGGGTGGTTGCTCAGGACCACAAGTAGTTACTGGTTTTCTGACCTGGAATGTTTGAGATACTGAATGTTACCCAGAAAATCTGTGGCTATACTCATCATTTATACTGCTTTGATCTACTTCTGATCACTGTTTCCTCAGATGCTCATCAAATGATCTCTCCTGTGACTGAGGTTGTGGCTCAGTAGTAGAGAGCTTGCCTAGCACGTGTGAGGCACTGGGTTCAATCCTCAGCACCACATAAAAAATAAATACATAAAATAAACTCATTGTGTCTATCTACAACTAAAAATATTTTAAAAAAATTATCTCTCCTGAATGTAGGAATAGAAAATCAGTACTAGATCCAGCTTTTGAGGAACAAAGAGGTGAGCTTTGACTTTTCACTTTTACCATTTCTCAGCTTCCAGATCAAGACATTCAGAGCCCTCAATGTCCCTGACTATACCCTGTTTCTCACCTCTACTCAAATTTCTCTCTTTCACATCCTAGTTCTTTACAGTCTTAATCAATGTTGGCTCCATGTGTCACCTTCACAGGTGGCACTAGCTAAAAAGAAGAGAACTCTGGGAAAATGTGAAGCTAGGTTTTTTTTTTTTTAAAATATATTTATTTTTTAGGTGTAGATGGACACAACACAATGCCTTTATATTTTTTATGTGGTGCTGAGGATCGAACCTGGGTCCACCCGTGCTAGGCGAGCAATCGACCACTGAGTCACAATCCCAGCCTGAAGCTAGGTTTTTGTTATCCTTCCCTTGCCTATTTCTGTTCTATTCTCATAATAATTTTTGAGTATCAATATCTTCTCGATGTTCATCTGGTTACATTCTTAATTCTAAGGGACTCAAGTTATCTTATTTCTGAAATAAGGATAATAATATTTTTTTCTGATCTGAGATAGAGGATTTATACTCTGATCTCTTTAGATCCTCTCTGGCTCCCCATTCTTTTTCTACCCAGGGCCCTTCCTGGCTCTAGAGAAAAAGTTACTCTATTAATGCAGCAATGGAGAAAAAATATCTCAATAAAGAAGGCTTATGTCCTGCATATTATTTGAATTTTCAGGGAGGATCTGTGGGGAAAATACTAGGAAATTTGAGTCCTTTTCTGGCGTTCAATGTAGAAAGTCAGCCTACTGTACCTTTGCAGTGAGCACATTCCTGAAATGAGTACAACAAATAACCACATCTGGCTTTCAGTTGGATTTCCCTTCTTTCCAATTCACTATGGATCAGGGTATTCAGAATTAGCCAAGACCTTCAAAATTTAATGACTAGCCCTAGAAAGGAAATAAGATGATGAACTACTTGTCTTAGAAAGCCATAGAACTTTAAAAGCAGCTATAGATTTGCTAACCACCTCTAAAGAAAGGGCTGCCTTCCTGCAATATGTAAGAAATCAGTAGATTCTACTATCTCAAGATACTTAAATGGTAAGATAGTTTAGTTAATTAAAGCATCCCACAAATACCACGAACTAGAAGGATAAATGCTTAAAGGGATGCTTCAAGGACTATTTGTTTTCCTGTAAGGAATATGATTTCAAATGATAAAGTTGACTGGAGAATCTCTCCAAGGCATAAAGTGATCTGAAGGAAGACCTTAAATAGGCTTTTTCTCTATGCATGGGAAGAAATCTATATTTTGGTTGCATTTCAAAACAGAAACTTAGTTCTCATAAGATTTAAATGTGCTGGTTCTTAGGTAATTAGGAGTCCCTTCCAACCCAAATGAGACCATTGGCTTTGCCTTATGCTTGGAAAGAAAATGGAATGTATATGAAAGCCAACAGATGTCTTACCTGTGAGCCAAGTCATTAAGATGAATAACAAATGAATAAACAGAAACTGTTGAGGGATATTCTCTGTGCACACATTCACTGATGACATGGCTATGTGCACATGGAGTCTTCCTCTTTCAGATAATTAGGGTAGTTTTAGCTTTACTTTGCCTCTTAGATCATAGATTTCTCATTTTGTCCGTACTGATTAATGATCATCTTTTACTTCCAATATCCCAAACTTGAGCTCTAGTGACTGTCTCTTCGTTTGGTTGCCCTGTTGTAATCATTGAAGGTAATGGCACTAATGGGCCATGGAATGGTTGGCATCCATGTGTGGATGGACTGATTCAGATTAACTACCAAAGTGACCTAGTTTATTGCTTCATAATTTGCCATGAAATGAGTCACTACTTACAGATGTAGTTATTCAGTTCTAAAGCATTGTTGAATATGAGGAATGCCAAAAGAATAGAGGTAATATCCGGAGTTAGTTCTATAATTTCTTAGATATTGTTGAAGCCTTTCTCTGGGTCAGGTGCTGTGCTAGTTTTTAGAAGGTACTGGATAAAGGATATACATTGTTTTGTACATTGATGAGTTTTTATTTGAAGAAAGAAGATTCAAGCTTTATAACCTATTTTACTCAACTGAGGAAGAGGCTTGAAACATATCAAGGAGTATAGGAACCATTGTATGAAGACTCATAAAAATGCCAACCAGGCTGAGGAGTGTGTGCCTATCTCCAAGTTTCTGGTGGTTGCTGGAAATTCTTGGCATTCTTTGGCTTGTAGCTATATAACTCCAATCTTTACATTTATTGTCACGTGGCCATCTTTTCTCTTTACCTATCTCTGGCTCTCTTTTCTATATCTTGGAAGGATACAAGTAAATGTTGGATTGAAGTCCCACAGTACTCTGATATGATCTCACCTTAACTGATTATATCTACAGTAACTGTATTTTTTTAAAAAAACAACATCTCCTGAAGGGAAAGGACATGGATTTTGTGAAGACAGTATTCAACCAAACATTTTATAAACACACTAACAAGTTCTGACAAAATTAGCCAGACAGAATAATGAGGAAATGAATTGATATGTTCCCAAGAAGGAAGCAAAGAGAAATAAAGCACGGTTTTCTTACTCCTTTCTCCTGGGTTAAATAGAGGCACCCTGAAAGTTGAAGTAGGACCATAGCAGAAGTGATATGATAATTAATCTCAGAGGGAGAAATGCAGACATTTTATATTATGAAGTGGATGTTTTCTGCTTTTTAGTGCTACCTGGGAGTTGGGCTTGGCTTTACCTCTGGAGAAACAGAGGAATAGGAAAAGAAAAGAAAGCAGGGAATAGGCAACTTAGGTTTTCTCTAGGGTGAGGAAAGCAGAGAAATAGGACCTTATATGGTCCTATTACCTCCTGTTACCCTCACATTGGAGGTTGGGGTTTCAATATATGACATGTGGGGATGGGAATGTGAAGACCATAACAGAGCAGAACTGAGAACAGCCCTGGTGATTGCCATGATTTCTTCAGTTGTGGATGTTTTTGTTGAGTGTTACTACACATTGTTACTACCATTCTTTTAAGTTTGGGAGAGGGAGAATTCTCCCTATCAGTATGGAACTTTGACTAAACAACTGAATACAGTGGTAAGCAAACTCTTAGAACATGGCCATGTATAATAATGCTATTTGCAAGCAAATACTTAGAACAGGAAGACAAAGAATATATGGTCACCCCTTGAATAGTCTTATGATATAGTATTCAATGATTTGGGCTCCCAAGCATGCTAGTTAATATAGAGGAGATAAATCTAATTTATCTACCTAAGCGTGCTATTTATCTAGTTTATCCATTTAGGCCTTGTTATAAAACTTGGCCAAGGATGGGTTAGTAATAGGATTAACATGAACCTCATTTAGAGGGTTACATTTCTCCTATATTGGCATTTTAGAGCCTAGACTATCTTTGACAAGTGGGAGCCTATACAGAATTCTATGCTATGAATTTCTAGTTTTGCTACCTCAAATTTCCTTTTTTTTTTTCTCTTTTAGATCAAATGGGAGGTTTCTGTAATTTTCTTTTTTGCTCATAGGAAAGTGTTTAGTTGAAAGGGAAACAAGCCAATTAAGGCAATACTAAAGGATGATCCTGAATAAACTTATATTTTAGTGGGGCCTCAAGATTTATGAATGAACAATAATAATGAGGTTGGCACTGAAATGAAAAGAGAAGAAACAAGTGCTAGCCTTCTGTTTCAAGGAGTCAAAAACCTTGTCTTTTTCCTTTGGCAAAGGGATGCTCTAGTTAATAACTGGACTAGGATTTCCACTTGTGCTGTGCTGCTGTTGTTATCTGCAGTGAAAGAACAACTTTGAATAATGAACCCTCTACCTTCACAGCAGGAAACGGTGCTACAGGGAGCTCCTCAATAATGGTGTATTTAATAATTAGAAATATGAGCAGGAATTGACCTTCCAAGTTGGATGTATTATTATTCACTTT